GCAGGTGCTGTGCCACTGAGCTGTACCCAGGTCCCCCAAATAACTTTTAAGGCTCAAAGGAATCTGTCTTAGTTACTTTTCTCTCATTACTCACAAAATACCCAACATCCAAGGTTAAAGGAGGAAAGGTTTACTTAGCTCACAGTTTGTAGAGCTTTTGTTCTCTACCGGGCTCTGAGCCAGGGTGAGGAGCAGAGGGGCAACCATTCATGGTGGCAGAAGACAGCAAACTCAACAATGTAACCCTAATAGCATCTATATGTCCCTTTTATACTCCATCCTGGAAGCTGGGATTAGGGCAGTGCCAAACAATCAGTGATTGATCCGGCAATCACCCAACCTTCATCCCAGCATTGCACCAACCATCAATCACGTGCCCCAGATTCATCTGCCTCTGAAAAAGACCCGTATAAAACTGCATGAGCCTTTGGGGGATATCTAGACCTCAACCATAACAGAATCTTTGAGCTCTCCCCTGGCTGAATTTCAATCAGGTAGAGGAAAGGGGCAGTCTCGTGATGCCCTTCATCTTGGCAGCTACTTACTCTCCTTAGAGGACCATGATACCCATTGCCACTGATGCACTGGGGACAGCACCCACTTACCCAGTACCTGCTGACCTGCCCTGCTTCTCTCAGCATTATTTATTAAGTAAACAGTAGCCACATACCTAACCTAATCATGCAAAGGTTGAGCTGCAGCTTTTCTACTTGAGTTAAGCCCATTTAGTAGAGCAGAGCCAGGTACAATAGATGTTTGGTGTCTGTGCTGCCCAGGTGCAAGTGCTGCTGGAGGTAAAGGAAGTTACATGGCAAGGCCACCTTCCTTGTGGCATCTAGAAGGAGCCCCAGGACATCCCTGACCTGCCCAGACAGATTCGTTATGGAACCCAGCCCTCCCATCTCTCCTGGGCATTTGTTACGTTGAACAAACCAACATTACAGTAACTTGGCTTGAGAGTTTACTTGACCTTTTATTCTAGAACCAGGCAATATTTTGTTCTATAAAAAAGAATGAATGGCCCAGTGAAAAGCATAGGAGGCTAGTTTTATAGATAGAAAAGAACTGAAGAAAGCAGAAGCCACAACTGTAAAGCAAATTGGTCAGATCTAAGTTACTTTCCTGGTTAGGCATGGAAAAGAGAGACAGAAGAATAGAAAAAGAACTCATTGGTAAACTTCAGGTTCTCCTTTTTGTTTGTAAGGATAAGAGCATGGGGAACTTCATTATCATGAGGTTAAACTGGTCTGTTTGGGAAACTTGGCTGTAGTCTCTCAATTTCTCCTGGTTTCTGGGAAGGTCAGATAGAAAGTGTAGTTTCCACTTGGGAATACGGAACTTTTGTATGGGTGAGTCTGGTCTATTGGAGCCCAGTTCAGCATCTTAGTCCAAAACAAGGACTTCTTATAATTTCTATTTTATAATCACTTCCTACTTATTAACCACATGGTTGGCAGAATCGGTGCATTTTCTGCATCTCCCGCAGCCCTGGCACAAGCCAGGCACAGAGCACATTGTAGATCCTCAATATGTGACTAAGTAAGATTGCTTCCTCTTCTGGGTTCTTTAAAAGTACTCAGAAAATAAGCACAAAATCCACATTAACAAGTGCACTCCTTAGATCGCTGCATTTCCTGTTGACGGAGCAGGGTCTTCAAGGGTCACTAATACACAGACAGTGGGAAGGAGGGGCTCCCAGAGGCCAAGCAGTCTTTTCTCCTATAAATTCTGCTAAGCGCTTCATCAAAGCCCAAAAGAGCATCAAATTTAGTCTCCCATTCCACCTCCCACTTGGCTCTGGGGACGAAAAGGGAAGTGGAGCTCTGGTTATCACCACAGCTGGGTCTGCGCTCGGACAGGAAGGGTGTCAGGAGCAGCAACATCCTGTTTGTGCTCAGCGGGCCTGAAGCATCCCAGGACTTCCTTTGGTACAGCACTGATTTTGCCTCCCATTCCCTAACATTTCATTTTCTTTTGTTACAGCTTTGGGGCATCATCAAACAAGGATATAAGTGCAAAGGTAAAAAAAAAAAAAAAAGTTATTTTGTTGAATATTTTTAAAAATTTGCATTTGGGATAGGAATCAAATTTCCCGGGATAAACAAAGAAGCTGTTGGCTTCACTGAGAACTTGGGTCTCTTGGGCCACTGGTGACTGAAGGGAAAGGATCTCAGAAGGGGACCCTGCAGTTGGGAGGGGTGAAACTTTGATTTCTTTGTTTTTTTTTTTTTTTTTTTTTTTTTTGCGGAACCGGGGATTGAACTCAGGTCCTTGAGCTTGCCAGGCAAGTGCTTATTCCACTGAGCTATCTCCCCGGCCCCAGAAACTTTGATTTCTTAGCTTATTCTTTTTGGCAGAACCAGGGATTGAACTCAGGCTCTTGCGCTTGCCAGGCAAGCACTTATGCTGCTGAGCTATCTCCCCAGGCCCTTCCTTGAGGACATCAGACTACCCTTGTCAACACTGCAGACAGCTAGCGTTCACCTCCACCCCCGCTGTGAACCACTCCATGCAGTGAAGGAGGGACTGGGATTGGGCAGGGTGCACCCTAACTGAAATACGGGATATGAAACCCTCTTCCCTCAAAGGCAAAAACCCATACACAACCATTGCTTTCAACACGTAGGCACTTCTTCCTGTGCTTGAGTAGCTGCTCTTTTTCTCTTCCAGTGAATTCATTGATATATTTCCTTACTTAATTAAAATTTAGAAAAGATCAAGTCTATATTTGACAAATGCAGCACGCATGCATCTCAAGCATTTAGGAATGTGTTGATACACACACACACACACACACACACACACACACATTTTTAATAGGGATACTTTGGTTATCGAACTCAATTAGTTTCAAATTCCAGTTCAAATACCAAAATGTTTGAGAACTGAACATATTTTTCTCATAAGAAATAATGGAAAACCAAGTAATTGGTTCTGAGGCCCCAAAATTACACTTATAAATCCATTTTTCCAGGACTAACACATTTCACAATGATTTTTTTGTGTTATGTTTTTTAAAATTAATTTTATTGATATATTTTTAGATATACATGATACCATTCATTATTAAGAATCTGTACCTGTATATAAAAAGTATATCTTGATTCTTTTTTTCCCACTCCCCTCCCTTCACCTCATCCCCCACTTACAAAAGCTATGTTTCCACTTTTTCCTTCTTTCTTTCCTTCCTTTCCCTCTTCCTCCCACCCTACTGTTCCCTTCCCATTTGGACATTTTCTTCCTATTTCACCATATCTATTATACATTTTGGTCCTTTTTTTTTTGGTGGAACCAGGGATTGAGCTCAGGCCCTTGCACTTGCCCGGGAAGCACTTATTCCACTGAGCCATCTCCCCGGTCCTGATTTCTTTAACTCTATTGTGGTCCTCAAAATTTTCCTTTTAGCTTAGTTCAACTATCACTAGTTTTCTTTGGCAGCATGGTTGCAATAAAATACAAAAAAAGCACAATGACCAGGGTCTAACACACTAACACTTGCAAGCATTGTGTACCATCTGGGTGACAGCAGTACTTAGACCGAAGTGCTGCCCCTTTCTGTCCACAGGGAGAGGTGGCACAGGGCTTAGCACAGGGCTCACTCTGCCCATACAGGTTTTTTCAAATCAGATTTTCTGTTCAACAATTGAGCAATTCTAACTTTGCTGTTTGAATAGTGAAAAATTTGATCTTGGAGCATTGCGACAATAAAGGTATCATTATATATAGTAGTGTTTACTAAGTTGCTGAATAGTTTATACTGAGTTTATAGGGGTTCTTTTAAGAAGGTTATAGTTGGGTGTAGTAGTACACACCTGTAATCTAGCACTTGGGAGGCTGGGGCAGGAGGATTGCAAAGGCCAGTTTGGGTTACATTTAGTGAGACCCTGTCTAAAATAAACAACCAAGAAAACAAATAGAACATGATAATGCTCTTAAAAATATAATAAAAGTAACCAGCTATGGTGGTGCACACTGTAATCTTAGTATTCTGGGGAAGCTGAGGCAAGAAGATCACAAGTTCAAGAACAGCCTGGGGAATTCAGTGACTTAGTGAGACCTTGTCTCAAAACAAAACAAAAAACACCCCGAAGAATTGGGTATGTAGCTCAGTGTGAAGACCCTGAATTCAGTCTCCACATATGCCAGTGTCCTCTCACTCATAGAAAGAAAATACAATAAATGAAACATCTTTTTTTTTTTTTGTGGGACCAGGGATATTGAACTCAGGACAAGGGTTTCTTCTACTGAGCTATCTCCCCGACCCCAGAAACATCTTATACACAGATGAATAGTTAATTCGGATGAACATTGTTTACAATATAAACTGCTTGCATAAAGCATTTAGCCATAATTTATACATTTTGATGAAGTGAGAGAACTATAAGAATGAATTCATTGAAAGAAGAAAGGAAGCAGAAGATGAAATCTTCTGCCCTGGCACAGGTTTGGGGAAGTGAAGAATAAGAATTCTGACAGGTACAGAAGGAGGAACACCCCATCCTCCATGCCCAGCAGTGGCATGGCCCCCGAGAGTGCAGACAAGGAGGGAGCATCGTCCTTGCTCTGCAGGCCCCTTGGTGGGGACCCTCCTAGGCTGGGGGAAGAACCACAGCCAGCCAGCATCTGCACCCACTGCCAGGCAAAGGCCACGGCCTCTGGGGCTGGCTGCTCTGCAGGACCTTCAGTGGCCTGTGACAAGCTGAGTGAATACAGAGGCAGCTGGCTCCTTTCCAGTCCAGGCACATGCCCTGTGGGCATTCAGCAGGACTCCAGAGACTCAGCCCAGGGCTGGGGCTGGGGCTGGGGCTGGCTAGCAAAGGTGCCGCCACCCAGTCACGTTCAGTTGGCACCAGTCACATTCATGTGCTTCCCACTCAGCATCTGTGCTTGCTGGGATTTTTCAGACTGCGGAGCCAACTGTCATAAACAGTGCAAAGATCTCCTGGTTCTGGCCTGCAGGAGGTTTGCCCGAGCACCCTCATTGGGCAGCAGTCAAGGATCACTGCCTGGAAGCCCCTCGCTGCCCCCAGGTAATGACCTGTGCTTCTCTGTTGCCCAGTCCCTCTGCTTTCCTTTCCACACCTGCAGTGGTCAAACCCCAGAACCTGCCATAGGCAGAAGAGTGGTGGCTGAGCTCCTGGCCCCTCTCACTTCTTTCTGCTGACATGCAAGTCCCCTGTAGCTAAAGTCGCTCTGTCTCTGCTCGGGCTTGGCCGGTCAGACCCCTGCTATTCATGCTAATTTTTGATGGTTTGCTATCAAGGGGACACAAGTCAAATAACCATCACTCTCTGCTCCCTTGCAGCACAGGACGAGGTGTTTGAGTTTCCCGGGGACGGTGCTGGACCCCGGGATCTGGATAGCAGAGCCATCACTCTGGTCACCGGCTCTTCCCGCAAGATCTCTGTGAGGCTACAGCGGGCCACCACCAGCCAGGCCACCCAGACTGAACCTGTCTGGTCCGAGGCTGGCTGGGGAGACTCAGGGTCACATACCTTCCCCAAGATGAAATCCAAGTTCCACGACAAAGCAGCAAAGGACAAAGGCTTTGCCAAGTGGGAAAATGAGAAGCCCAGGGTGCAAGCCGGAGTGGACGTTGTAGACCGGGGCACCAACTTCGAACCTGACCAGGATGAAGGCCCAGAGGAGACCAGACAGGATGGTGAGGTCAGTGCTGGGTCAAAGCACAGATAAAATCAGAAAAAGAAGGCCCAGCGGGCTGTGGTGAGCACTACAGCGGGCATGGAAGGCCTTCTGATAGTTCTGAGAGCACCGTGGTTGGGAACCACGATGCAGCACCTTTCATGTTGCTATTGGCCACCCTGAACGGTGTTCTTTGGGCCTGTGTCATTATGCATAAACCGGAACTGGACTGAATGTGAAGTTCAGCGAATGTTGTCGTGTGTGTATACAGAAAGCCACCCCTGACCCAGTACGCCAGCGCGTTGCTGACTTTCCAAGGCAGAAGCAGGGCCCAAGCTCAGGGGAGACAGGAGAAGTAACGCAGTGGCAGGCACCTAAGGGGAAAAGGAAACTTGTGTCCCTACTAAAAGAGAGACTTTGGCCGGCATCACGGGAGAAGGGGTGGCGGGGGTCACACAGGGAAACCTCAGTTTCTATACAATGGCTCTTTTTCCAAACAAGAATTACGTTCCAGCCACCCAAACTGAACGACGGGGTGCATATGGAATTCGTTAGAAATGCTGAAGATACAAACTAATTCAAGATGGGGTTAGATAAATTTTATTAGTCAACAGTGCTTAGCGTAGAAGACAGAGGCTCTGCAGGGATTGGTGTCATGCTCCTAATGCGCACAGCGGTGGCACGGAGGGCAGCTGCTGCCTCCCTGCTCTGCCAGCTCTCAGCAGCACTGGGTGGGGCAGACTCTCGGACCATGCTGGTGTGCTGGATTCCAGCGGGGAGTCCACTGCACCCCTCACCTCTGGAGAATGAGGGACATAGTCTCCTTAGTTTCGCAAGATGAGAAAAACTCCAATACCTTGAACCAAAATCCTCCAGATCCTTCCTTATTAACAGCAATAAGAAGGCAACACACTGTTGCATCTCCAGTCGTAGGGGATTTATTTTAAATTCCTGCCCGCCCATTTCCCTCCTTACTCAAAACACTGTTAGTTTTCTGTTACTGTGGATGAATACTTGAGGTAAGAGGCTGAGAGGGGAAGAGTGAGGGAACGGGAGAGAAGCCCACAGTTCTCTTCCAGGATGTGTCCCCGATGGCCCCAAGCCCCTCTCTAGGCCTCTGGCCTCCTCATTGCCTCTACCAGCTTCACCAGAGCCAAACTAAAGACCTGGGCCTTTGAGACACGGATTTACACCATGGTACTATTTATTGTTTGGGATGCTGGGGATCTGAAAGGGGTTCCTGTGTGCTAGGCAAACCCTTCCCCACACTTTTGCCCTTAGCTCCACAGCTCTGACGTTTAAAAAACCTCTATATTGGGACTCGGGATGCAGCTCGGTGGTGGAGCGTGTGCTTAGCATACAGAACGCAGGGGTTCAACCCTCAGCCCCCGAGGTAAATACGGGGCCGGGCAGTGGCTCAGTACGATAAGCGCTTGACTGGCAAGGTAAATACATAAATAAATGTTAAAGTAAAACAATAAATCATTTTATTGACATATAATTCATGTGCCATGAAACTCACCCACTTAAAGCTCACAACTCAGTGGTGTCAGTGTATCTGCAGAGTTGTGCTTCTGTCACTACAATCCAAGTTTAGAACATGTTCATCATTCCACAAAGAAGCCCCGCAGCCATCAGCACTCTCCCTCCTCCACTTTGCCCTGGTCTTAGGCAGCTGATTTCCTTTCTGTCTCTCCAGATTTCCAGCACCAACTTTATTTTTAACGTTTCCCATACTAATTATCCTGGCGAATGCATCAGTAGTCCTACCCTTCCACTTCTGCGCCTGTCCTAGCACAGCTGAAGCTGAGATTGTAAAGGTGATTAACAGGTTCGTGATTTGGTGCAGAGAACGATAGCCTAGGGCAAGAGCTCTTAAGCTGGACTGAAAAATGCCTTCAGGAAGGTTCATAAAAATGCTTTTATAATTTTAATAGAAATTATAGATGGGTACATGCTGGGCAGACTTATCCATAGCGTTTAACAGATTGTCAAGCAGGGCACGGAGTTACTCATATTCCAAAAGAAAAGGAGAAAAGACAGTCATTGTGCAAGATTTTCAGAAGGATGCCAGAAATTGTGCCAGTCACTGTGTCCCAGCTCAGCTTGTAGAGACTATGTCCCAGAGTTTGTGGCTGCCATGGAAGTCTCAGGAAAAGCTTGTTGAGGGGCAGTCATAGGATGCCCCTCTAGAGCTCTTGAAGTGGTGTCCACCTCAGGGAATCTCTGAGTTCTGGGAATGCCTGCTCATGAAACTGGTCATGAAATCACCTCTGCCGGCTGTCACAGTTCAGGTGAGCTAAACTGGGCTCCTGATTAGGAGACATTCACAGCCCATTGGGTGCAGGCAGGTCACAAAGGTAAGACTTCTGATCATTAATCTCTATTAAAAAGTAGAAACAAAGATCTGAGTGTATCAGAAAAAAAAAAAAAAAAGAATTTTGCTCTTTGGAAACTGAATCTTCCATGTTCAGATGTCCTTAGTGTTTCAGTTTCTCCATCCGATAAATCATGGAGTTGGCTCACTGACCCCTAATAGCATTCACTCCACTTGGAAAAGACCAGATATTGCTATATAAAATGCATACATATGCTACACAGTCTCTTTCCCGTCTAACTGGGGACCAAGAAGGCATTTGGTCTTATTCAGGGAAAAAGGAAAGAATGTGATAAAATTATGCTCAACTGTTGAATATATAAATAAAGGAGTTTTCAAATTCAAGAAACTTTCTGCCAGCCAAGAGTACATAGATTCTCTAACAGCAGTGGAACACCCATCTCTGACAAAACACAGAAGGGGGATATAAATGAAATACCATCTTGTAGTGGAAAAAAAAATATATATATATATATGTATATACAAAATAGTTAGGTTAGATATACAGCTATTTTGTCTTAGTTCAATGAGAAGAACACTTGTGCTAATATTGTTTAGACAACAGATCATATTTACATCTTGTACTGTGAATAACTAATAAGACAACAATATGCAATGTATTAATTATTGTAACTGTCCTACTAACCTGTTTTGAAACTGTCTCATTGCTATTTCTCATTAAAATTAAAAAAATAAAAAAGAGTACCTAGAATGGACTAAATCAAATGAAAGATCTATTCATTAACTATTTAGTAACATATTTATCAATTGCATAATTAAAAATGTTACACATAGGTATCAATCCATTTTCTGTAGCTATAATTGAACACAACTGGGTAATTTTAGAAGTTAATTTAGGTCACACGTTCTGGAGCCAACAGCCAGGTGCTGGCATTTGGTGACATTGTCTTGCTGTACCCTGGCACGGCAGAGAGCATCACATGACCACCGAGAGCAAGCAGGGTGGCTCAGGCCTGCTTAGAAAGCTGGTCATGACATGGTAGCACAGGCCTGGAAGCCTCGCACGAGAGGAGCTCAGGCAGGAAAACTGCAAGTTTGGACCCAGCATGTGTAACTTAATGTCTTAGCCAGTTCATCTCACAAAATAAAAAATAAAAGGCTACAAATGCTGCTCAGTGTGAAGACCCTGGGTTCAAACCCCAGTATGCGTTCAGGGGAGATGTGTTTTTACAAAGCCCATAATGGCATCAGGCGGGCTCCATCCTCGGGACCCTGTCTAATCCAAATGTCCTCCAAGAGGCCCCACCTCCCCACATCATTAATGTAAGAACTGGGGAATTGACTTTTCAACACATGAGCTTTTGGGGACACATATTCAAACCCTAGCAGTGAAAGGTCTATAACCTGCGCATTTCCTTTGATGATATTCCAGGATTTACACTCATGTTAAAGCATAATTAAGTATTTTCAGTGGTAGTGGCTACCATCTCACTGGTGACCACTGAGCCTGTAGGTTACAGGGCAGGTGAAGGTTATTCCTTTGGCAGTAAGAATATTTCCTTTTTAGTTTCTCTCTTGTTTTCTATTATGCTAAATTAAATCCAGTTAATCAGTATGTATTTTAGGATTAGGAAATCCTGGACTAAACAGAATTAAATATTAAAGAATATATACATATAAACAAAATATATATACACAGTTCATACATATTATCTGTAAGATATACACTATATGTAAATTATTTCCTTATAATTTTTCTTAGTGCCCTTATATACAAATTTATGTTGTGGGTGTTTTTGGACTTTTGGAGATAAGAGTTTCATTATGCAGTCCAGGCTGGCCTTGAACTCACTTGGTTGCCCAGGATGGCCTTAAACTTGCAGTGATCCTCCTGTCTCAACCTCCCAAGTGCTGAGATTATAGGCATGTTGCCACCATGTCTGGCCTTCTATTACAGATTTCTAAGAGGGGAACCTTTAACAAGAAGAGCATGAGGGACTATGTTGTGGTGCACCATTAAGGAAACACTAAGAACACAATCTTGTTGTACTCTGGAAATCTTTAGGATTCCATGTGCTGGGTGGATGATGTGACCTGTGCGGTCCCTCTAAATCTTGAAATTGGGGCCGGGGAGATGGCTCCGTGGAATAAGCACTTCCCTGGCAAGCGCAAGGGCCTGAGTTCAATCCCTGGTTCCGAGAAAAAAAAAAAAAAAAAAAAAATCCTGAGACTCCCTTCCGATCATTTAAGTTCAATTCTTTTGAATCAAATTCACCTGAAAAACAACTTTTTAGAAACGCTTTTGTTAAATAAGATCCAGTTATGCAACAGGCTCTGATTTGTATTGCAGGATGGCTGACTTCAAGCTGGGGAAACTGAGGCAATCATGCTGGCAAGATGAGAAACTCTGGAGAACACGCCCATCTCAGGAAGTTATCTGGAAAGACACCCGCACATTTTCTGCCATGGGACACTGTGGGATCGCCATGGTTGGGCGATGGACAGAGGATTTATCCTAATAATGAACTATTTATTCAAGGTTCCTCCCTGCCCCAGTTAGGTGCCACACAGACTGTGCTACATAGCTAATTGTTTTCTCACTATATTTCTCTAGAGCCATTTATATACGGGTGAAATGAAAGCTTCTCTGCTCACACTTGATACTCTCAAAACTCAGCCTTTGCTTTTCTGTGAGCGTATTTTAATTCTGCGTACCTTTCGGGTGGGACCAGTACTCAATATCTTCTTGAAGGGCCAGGAAGCATCTCAGGCTTGGAATCCCGGAGTTGTTCTAGTGAAGATCATCTACGAGAAGCTGTGTATGTGTTCCTGCCTGGCACTCCCTACGATGTACAGCAAGCCACACGTATTTGTCTTCGAAGACTTAGCAATTCTGCATCACTAAGGGCTATGATGTAGCTCTGAATGTGTGCCTAATGCTTATAATAGCCCTGGGGGACAAATGAGCACGTGTCCCAGCTAGCTGTATGCTCTTCCTTTAGTCCTGAAATAGGAACAGCGATTGAGAAATCCATTTGTTTTGGGGAATATAACTTAGTAGAAAAGTCACTGAACAAACGCTAGGTAAAATGCAAAACCATGCCCAATTTTTAAAGTTCAGAGTATTTCTAAATTTTGTTTAAAAGATCTTTTTGGTTCAAATGATAACCCTTGTACTCTTCCTAATAAACTGCCACCCATAATTAAAGACTGTTAATTAAAAAGAAAGCCATCATAAATGATCTTGAATATTCCACTTATACTTTTTAAAAATATTAGTAATTTAAGTATTTTCCTTTGACCCAAAATGTCTAGATGTGGATCTATTTCTTAAATAATGAGACAGAGAGAGAGAGAGACAGACAGACAGAGAACTTGATTCAAGGTGTTCACAATGGAAGCCAGGTGCTGGTTGTACACACCTGTACTTCCCAGCACTTGAGAGGATGAGGCAGGAGGACTGCCCCAAGTTCAAGGCTACCCTAGGCTACATTAAGAAAAAAACCTTATTTCACTAAGAAAAAAAAAGCTGTTCAAAACAGAGATGGAATCGAGACCGTGAGTGAGTTGGATGACTGCTACAAGAGACCACGCAGAAACTGTTCCACAGACGTCCTTCATCCCCACGTCAGAAGGCCACTTTTTGTACATGGTCCACGCAGAACTGACTGTACTTGTGGAAGTTGCCCTTCTCTTCTCTTCCCTGCGGACATCTGAGGCAGATCTGCAGAGCCAGCCTTCTGAGTGCTGGTTCTGGACAGGGTCAGTGTGAAAGGCACAAAGACGGACGTGACTGGTCTCGGCCTCAAGGACTGAAAGCCGAGGACACCCAGGCTAGCTGGCTCCTGTGGTGTCAGTCTGCTGGGATAGGTAGGCTACAGTCACCTCTGTAAACAGCACCAGGGCAAACTGCCACTCTGAGATGAAGTAACTGTTAACAAAACTAAAACCAAAATGGTAACTTGAGCACAGGGAATGCTTAGTTGTGTTTTTTTTTTTTTTTTTATTTTATTTTAGAAAAAGGAAGTAATTTCAGGAAGAAACCTGTTAAGAATAAATGTGGTAGGACTGTTCTTTTTCTTCTCAGAGGAATTACTTCACTTCACACTTAATTTGGATACTTGTGTGTTTTTGTATCTAGGAAGAAGTTTCATATTGTCAATCTTCCTATTACAAAGATACTAAATGTACCCTGTACAAAAAATAAAAAGAAACCAAATGTATGTATATAAACTATGTGTGCATATCATGTGGGTACACATAAACACTAACACACAGCTATTGCTTTGCGGAGAAGGACTCTGAGCCTGTGAGGAAACGGCATGGTCACCTCTATTATATTATTTACTCATCACCAATGGTGAGCCGCCTGTCTCCAATCTATCAGTTCATATAATCAGTGATAATAAACACAATAGGTAAACCCACAATACAGCAAAACCATTGCGGACGTTTCCTCTGTTTTGTAGGTTTGAGGATCACTGTTTCCTTTAAAGACAAAACCCAAACCACATGAGTATTAGGCATGAGGGTAGGATTACTGGACACATCTATTGAGGCTTCCCTGAAGGATGGATGCTTCGGAACCAGAGTGGCTCTAAGAGGTGGTGGGCAATTCTGTTCCCACGTTGCTGTGCTAACAGCTACTCCAGGAGTCCAAGGGGTAGCTGTTTCAAAACGAAGGGGGAGGGGCCAGGGAGATGGCTCAGTGGACTAAGTGCTTCTCTAGCAAGCACAAGGGCCTGAGTTCAATCCCTGGTTCCGCAAAAAACAAAAACAAAAACAAAAACATACAAACAAAAACAAACAAACAAACAAA